CTTCAAGAAATTCTGATAAATAACTGCATGTTTATTTCAGACAGCCAATGGACATTCATACTGGAAGGGCCTAAAAAAGGTAATTCAAATAGATCGAGCATTCTTCTTCATAACATTTAACACAGAAAGCTAGGATGGACAGAGAATGTGCCAGGGTGTATGATGGTTTAAAATCTGATTAATCACACAAGAGATAATTTGAAACCTTAAGTGGCTGAGGGCCTGTAATATGCACACTCACCTTTTTAGAAGACTTTCAAGTTCAGGCAAAACCAAACTTACTCTGCTTATTTAAATTTTCTTTTATAGCTTCTACAACTCTGCTTCACAACAATGTGGAGGAAAATCTATCTGTAGTGCTCTCATCTATTGTTTTATTGCAATATCACCTCTGTGGCATCTTGGCTATTATTTTTCACCCTGTTATTACCCTCTTAGGCTTGGCAGAATCTTTCCATCCTGATGCGAAACAGCACTATCCCTTGCCCTCCCTCTGATCTACTTTTCCTGTGAAGTTTCCAAAACACCACGACCGGGCAGTGGCAGGGAGCTGGCAGACCTTCCCTCCTCCTTCCTTTCTCCAGTCCCCAGTCCTTTACCATCTCAAAGCCTAGGAGAGGCTGAGCGCATCAGTGTTGCACCTGACCCAGTGGGGTCTGATCCCTGATTTGTGACTTTAATTATTATTATCCTGATTTCAATTATGATTGAAAATAACAAAAATAAGGAAACCTCCCTCTTATCTATTGCTGTCACATTGAGCATCACAGCCCAGAGGGATAACTTTGCCTTCTTAAACTGAGACAATGTGTTGGTCATGTGCATTCATTTTCAATATGTGTAATTGATTAGTGACTTATTATTTCATTTTACTAAATGTTGATATACTAACAACTAAGCATTCAGCCTTTAACGAGATGTTAATTTATCATATCTCATAGCAAAATATAATTTTGCTTACTACAGTTACCCATTCTGCTTGAAATAAGTATTTTATCTGTTTATTTGACTATGGTTTCCTTGGCATTTCTTGTTGATTGAATGTAGAAGCAATACTTTATCCTAACTTTAATCCTGACGACATTTTTAATGCATTTATTCTGCAAACATCATGTCTAACTTGTCACAAACTTTGAAGTGTATTTAATAGGAGGGAACCTACTGGGAGCCAGGCTTCAACCTGACTGATGCATGCATGAGTGCACTGGTTTATACATGTACAACTTTATTTGTTTTGTGGGAACCCTTCTGGACTTTAACAGTCTTTCATTTTGTCTTTTAGGAAAATGAAAGCCTGCACACCAGGCAATGTTTTCTGCTTACAGCTAGCAAGATGGAATTGGCATACAGGAATAATCTTTTATTTGAAAAATGAAACTGGTCTATATTTTTACCGTGATGCCTGACATTTACTTCAAATGCACAGGAGTATATCTCCTAGATTTGAGAAATACTATTGATTTCTAGAGAGACAATGTAGGACAGCTAATATCCTCTTTAACTTTGAAAGGAAGATGATTATTCCAGTATGCTTATTCATTTATACTGTCTCACATAAGCACTTGTCTCTCTTCTCTGATTAAAGAGGTGCATTATTTACATGCTAATAATCAAAATAAATCCCCAAAACTGCATCTCTGTTCCACCTGCTACACCCAACACAAGCAACTCCATGCTAGAAAGGTTGCTTTCCATCCTGCTTTTAAAAACTATTGTTTCCATATTGGAACCACTTTTCTATAAACTGTTACTTACAGCATTCGATGGCTCTATTTACCATGAATGCTCCAGCTTTTCAGTTTGTAAGCAAAGCTAGATGAGATGGAAATGGTAACAGGGAACTGCATTGCACTGTCAGGAGACAGAAAACATTCAAAGGCTAGAAGAATACCTAAAAATAGCAGTGCCTCTAAGGCACGTTTCAAAATATCAATACACAGTCTGTTAGTAGCAAGCATCCAGAATTACTTTATATAAGACACTTTTGAAACACAAAGCAATCTGTAACATCTGTCCTGTTCAGAATAAAAATTCTTACCCTTAGTCATGGTTCAAATGCTGTTTATTTATTTATAAATATTTATATATATTTGAGATACTCAGTCATGTTGATAAATTCATTTAAAATTTCCATCAAAACACTCTTGATCAAAGAAGTTGAAATCCTAGTTTCTAAGCAGCTCAGCAGAAGAGATGACTGGTAGCATCTAAAATACAATTTAGTCTGAATGTTAACTGCAGAGAGGATAGCTATCATACACCACTAACATTACAGCTTCATGCCATAGTACAGCAGGATTTCCAAATAACAGGTTCTAGTTTTCCTCCAATATTTTTCCTACTTTGAATACTCACACTTAAAATTGTTCATTAAAACTGTTCCAAAAAACTCAAACCAACAATATTTTCAAATTCAAATGTTATAGTTTTCTTGTTTTTAAACCATGCAAACAAACCATTAGGGAAGTTACTAATTAGATCGCACTAATGATGACATCAAACACCTGTGAAGTTCATGCTTTTATACACATAATAAATCTGTTCACCTCATGTACAGTTATTACACTGTGAAGAATATATGGCTTGAATATAAAGAAAATTTAATCTTTAAAGACATCTTTATTTTTTTCACCTTGCTACTCATTTTTTTTACTGTACATGAAGTCCACAAAAGCCCTCCCTAAAAAAAAAAAAAAAAGTTTTTCTATATGAATCCATTACCTAGATGAAAAAACTATTAGAATTTTTTAAAAATCTATTCTAGCCAGCTCAACTATCACATATTCAACAGGGTGGAAAGGAATAAATGCCAGTGAATGCAATTCCCCCTGTATTTCTTTAACCCTCCTGTATTTCATTTCTCCTTCGCAGGACCCAATAATTATATTACTTCAGTGACTACACAGTCAGTGACACAGAGCCAGCATGCAGGCCACAAATTTAAGTGTGTGCTAGGGATGCCTTGTGCTAGGGATGCCTTGCAGGTAAAGGAGCTATTTACAAAGTGCATCTCAAAAGCGATATAATGAGTCACCTAAATACAGGACTCTACTGATGGAAACCCGGTTCCTAAAAGAGAAAAATAACTTTGCTTTGACCTTAAACTGTATTAGCTATAAACATACTTGGCAGCATGGACTTCACAAAAACATTAGAATAAATTGAGCTTTAACATAATGAAATATTTAGGGCTGAGCTGATTACTTATTTTTGCTCAGCGGTGTAATAGGCTAACAGTCCCACTTTCCTATGTGAAATGAAATATGACTCAGGGTAAGCTGATTAGTAATAATTACAAGCCAGATATTCTTCTACCTCCTGAACAGCAGGAGACCTGTAATATCAATTACAGATTTCCTGCGCTCTAATGATTCATAGACAATATATGCAAGTTGACTCCGTGGCCAGTACAGATTCTGCAATTTATCTAAAAATTCATGTAGATAGATTGATTTCCAAATTTCAATAGGAGTTTAAACCTGTAGGATACCTCCTGAATTATGGAGTCCAGTAGACCAAGTCGGAGACATCATAATAGAATTTCTTTCCTTAAATCTCAATTTAGCAAATTCTTTTTTTTTCTTTTTTCCTTTTTTTTTAATCCAATCACAATTTTAATTGATAAATCTGTTCCTGAAGCTCAGTTTTATTTCAAACATCAATTTATTCATGAGTTGATTTGCAGAAAAAACAGGGGAATTTATTATGACTCTGTTCATTAAAGAGAAAGAGAGAGATAACGAAAAGAAATACAAAATGAAGGTGTTTAAGCACTGAGACAGGTTGCCCAGAACTTGTGCAATCTCCACACTTGGTGATAGTCACAGCTTCACTGGACAAGACCCTGAGCAACCTGATCTAACTTGATAGTAGCCCTGTTTTGAGCAAGAAGGTTGGATGTTGAGGGTTTCATTTATAGAATTACCTTCCAGATGACAGCCCTTAAGCCACACGCACCTTTCCTGTAACAATTTCATTATTCAGTCTTATTTTTAATGAGTAATTACCATAGCTGTCCTACATATTTTAAATAAAAACTTAAAATCTTAGATCTTAGATCTAGATAAGGAAGAAAAAATTGAGACTTGTGAGAATAACATTTCAGGCTTCACTTAGGAGTGGATTATTTCACATATCTACCATTTTATTTTCTGACTGCACCACAGTAAGGTTGTAACATAAAACAAAATACAACATGATAACAGCTTCCCTCTGTGGAAACTTTGGATTCTCGCTTTTATGACAAGAAAGAAAAGCTTTGAAATAGGACCTGAGAGCAGCCAATGACAACTTATTACCCATGCCTACAATATATTTCAAGCAGTTCCACATTCCTATGGGAAGGGAGAAACAAACCTAACATTTTTTGTAAACTATGTCAGCCAGTGCAACCAAAGTCTGTGTTTGTTAAATATCAGCTTTTCTAATATCATAAAGATACAAAAATATTAACTGTGGTTGTGAATGATTCATATTTTACCCAATTATTTCTATTAAAATGGAGTTAGCTAAGTACTCAGAGCTATACTGCTACAATTAACACATTAATATACACAGATATACACCAGCACAGGATTATTATTCTCTATCAGTACTTTTTCATCCTTAGCTTGGGACACTGCCTGGTCAAAAAGAACTCATACACACATTAAGAAAATAGAGTAAGACTTCACTGGGTATTTCTATGATTAGTGGGAACCATTGTACAGCTAACACATGCAAATATTAACACTAGTCAAGTGAGATGAATTGAAGAGATTGTAGTTAATATACCTCCATGACAGATATTCTCGACTCCATGAAAACCAAACCTTTCAGTTTAAGTATCTAAAAAGGATCAGTATCAATTCGAAAGTATTTATTTCTGCATTTCACAGACTTAAACAGTGTGGTCTGCAAAACCGCATCTAATTAGTGGCTATGTGTATGTGGGTAGTTCAGTGTCTGGCTTAGTGGTATCTGAGAGCCCTACAGGCAGCTTCAACAGAGAATCATCTTACCCTTCCACAGAAATGGTCCGCTGCAAGCTCACTGTGGGGGGACGCGTTGCAGTGCTGTGCTGGGAATGACTGTATGACCAAGGAAGAATAAAGAAAAGCATTTGTTAAAGAAATACAAGTTTCTCTTATTCTTATTGTCTCTAGCAGTTTAGCTAATGCCAAAATAGAAACAACAATCAGATTGTTTTACACGTGTCTAAAGCATTTTGATTTCAGTGATGCTTATCTATTCAAAAAAGGGCTCAACCCTACAATCTCTCTTGTTTAAAATCAGGTTTCATTCCTCCTTAAGAGCAGCCAATGAAAAGAATAATTCCCCCTTATCTTTCTTATTCTTTTTAAAAAATATATATACACAAACAGTTCAGTGACTTAAAATAACTTAGATGCTAATTGTTCTGCTAAATATACTAACCATAAAACACAAAGTTAATTTCAGAGCAGAAGGTAAAACAGTAAATAGTAATGTTTTCAATCTAATTCTCAGTGTTTCTCAGGCAGAATGCTCAGTAAAAGAGGACATGCACTGCTTTTAATTGCACCATAATGTAACTTTGAATTTTACAAATTTCAGCAAACATTCATTATTTCTATCAGATTTAAGTAGCTTGAGTTTTTTCCACATGAAATTATATCAATCCAAGCACAACATTTAGAAAAAACCATTATATTTTCTAAGTAAAACACAGACTCTGTGAAAGAAAAATCTTTTTGATTGAAAATCCTGAGGTCTAATGGCTTCTCTCATATGTGTTGTCATGGTCGAGGAACCTAGTTACTGTATTACATAAACCCAATAAATTACACAGTATATGATAACTTCAGTGTTGTACTATTGTGTAGTAGTATTGTACCATTACTATTCATGTAAATATAAATGGATAACAACACAGCATCAGTCAAAGGCAGTTCTGTGATAATAAATTGCATTCCTTGTCCAGGACGATGTGTTTAAAAAATAAAAATAAAAAGCAGAAGCATCTGGGTGTATTCTCTGATTAGGTTAAATGGCTACATCACACAGTGAGGCCCAGTATTAATAATGCAAAGTACACATTGAAAATAAATCTTTAAGTCAGTTTTATATCACTGATTCTACTAACTGCAGATTTTGTCTTGCTTTCAAGCTTTGTATACAACTCAAGCTGTTTGTTCAGAAGCAGCACACCTTATTTTCATTAAAAGCTGAGACATTCAACATTAGTGAGCAACACATCTATTTTACATGCATTTTATCTTGTAGCATAGCCAATACTGTCTGTCTGACAGAAGAGATATGATTTTTCTGTGTAGCACATAGGGTTGTGACACACGATATCATGCCACAGGACAAACAAAAGACCTGCGTCCTGCTGGTATTCCCTGTTGTGACCATTGTGCTCTTGTGTCATGTTAGTAAACTGCTGTACTCACCCTTGTTCTGAGTATTTCAGAAAGCTTGTGGGAAAGTATATTCCCCTTATGAGAAGGACTACAGAGTTTTTTATCTGTTTTATAGCAAGACACAGGGTGTACAGGAGTATCGCAAGTCTCTGGCATCATGGTGTGAACAGAACAGTTGAGTTGGACAAATGTTGCAGAATAATATTTTATGAATATCGGTTAAAATTTCGCATTAAGTGTGCATCTTGCAAATGACTTAGGATGCATATTTTTAAACTACGCTTTTTGAGTGTTTATGCATTTTCAAAAATTTAAAGTTTAGATTGTGGCTTGTCTTCTGTCCTTCTCCCTCTACAGACCTGAAAGGGAACATACATCCTTATGTTCCTGTACTGGCTTCCTACACAAAATTAATAGGGAAGGGAACAGCCTCTGCCCTGAATTTTCCCCCTGTATACATGAGACAGAAGTGGCACAGTAGAGCCGTAACTTCTACATCTTTTCCCTGTGCAGCTTGACTCTCAGAAACCTTATTCCCTGAAGTTGCATCAAGAGGTGCAAAACTACAACTGGTACAAGGAACAAGAACCCAGCAGAGAGGAGGGACGATGACGTATGTCATGGCCCTCTAAATCACACTGTATGTCAAGGTCTGTTTCTAAGAGAAGGATGGCAAAGCCGTGCCTGAGCTATACTGCCAATGCCAAACCCACCATGGAGACTTGAAACAAGCAGCTCATATGCTTGCAACAGATGCTACATATTTTGTGGGGAAAAAATCTATTAACAAGGCATGGTAAGTTAGCAACTGAAAGTTTCATGCAGGAATTGGGTTTATTTCATAACTGGTCTGTAGTGTTCTGTTTTTCAAAGGAATGTCATAGGAAAGCGTAGCTGAGGAATGACAGCTGATATGGCACTTTGCCTTAAAACATTTAAGTCACCTCACCCTGTTTCAAGCCTTACTAGAGCCATGGCATACTGTTACAACCAGAGCCACAATATCTACATTCAACCACAACTAGTCAAACTGGCTTGAATTCTGAAAGCTTTATTTCTTTTTGCGAAAAAGATTTCAGCATTGCCCTATTTTTACTACAGCAAACTTATTTATATAACTCTGACCAGCTTCAAAAGGAGCAAAATTACAAGAGCATTAAAGGTAGGACTTTCAGCTGCTAAGTACTAAAGCCAAATAATTTCCCATTTATCCACAGAATTAGTAACCGAAGACAATCACAAAAACACATTGAATAGTAAGCACTTGGGATGTGACTGTTTGGATGTTGCAAATGAAAAAATGGGCTACATTCACCAAAGTAATTTACCGAATGGTGAATTACTGCTTCTGCACGGGAAGATTCAAAATGAGGAAAGGGACCAGCCTGATCACTGTAACAGACTCTCAGTCCCCACAGCGACGCTGCATTTTACTGATGAATTCAACTACCTTTGAGGATTGACACTTAACCCTGGCTACTTTGTGCAAAATCTGAAGGTTATAACCTCTCTGTTTCTAAATATTTTATATAATGGATGGATAAAGACTAAGAATTTTGCCACCATACTATTCATAATGGCCTTTACAGAATTAGCAAAAACTCTTAGTCTTTATGAAAGATTTCTGTTTGACATTACACACGTTTCTTTAACACGGAACACGTTACCTTTCAGAATATAGAGCTACCTAGATCTAAAGCTGGTATTGGCTGCACTCTCATAAATTTATTACTGGATTTCACTATTCACGTACGTTGAAAAAATTGTACATCTTTTTATGAATGTAAATTATTATTTAAAACATATGATTCCTATTTAGAAAGGTTGGTGAAAATGCCATTTATGAACTTTCTAAGGAAAACCATTGTGGAAACACAAAATTGAAACGAGAGCAAACAGCATTTCCAGAAGTGATTAGGTGCACCAGGTTCCTTGATTTTGGGTGTCCAGTCTAAAACACTTCCAAAACCCTGCTTTGCCAAAAGAGGATATTCATCCCTTTCAGAAAGTCAGATATGTAACATCTCAGCAGAAGGGTAAGGTACCCAGAACTCACTAATCCCTCTCCTCAGCCGCTTGAGAGTTTGTGCCGTGCCACCACATCTGCTTGGTAGTTACCCTCACACAGTATTTTTATGGCTGTGGCAAGAAGCAGTAAATCAACCACAGGATTATCCAGCCAGGCTGGAAAATGAAGAATATTCAGAGGGAAAAGCAGATTCTTGGGAAAACAAAACACATTTCAATGATGGAGTGAAAAAAAAAAAAAAAAGACTAGAATGGCAGTATTATTTTCTATTATATCAGATGCTCTATTGAGTATTGTAATCCCATAACAAGTATGAATTAAAGCAGTGATTTCAATTCAGTATTCTCCTGAAATTACCAAACCACTCAAGCACTAGATGTCATCAGTACCCCTCACTGGAATGACTACTCGTTATGCAAAGCTGTGCAAGGAACCTTATACCTCACTCCTTCCAAGCAAGAGGCTCAGCTACTGGCAATATTCCACTCGTTAGAAACCCTTTTCCAGTCCTAGGTATTTGTGACATAGAGTTCAAATGAGTCCTCAGCTTTTTTAATGAAAATAATTCATAATTGGTGATATGAAAACTCATTTTTTGTACATAATTACAAAAATCAAGTTCGATGCTCACTACAAGCTTATGCTTTCTAAGGTATCGTCATGAATACAGTGACAGCTAAAAATCAAAACCACAGTTTAATCACTGCTTGACATAAGTGGATATCCAGTTGCAGACAGAAATAACAGTCTGATATCATTCCTAACTGACTTATTTAAAACATAAAGCTCCGGGTGGCTTCTGTCAAAGTGGTAGAACCAGCAGAAAGAAGCCGTTTCCATCACATGCTGAATACACTTATGCATGTGTCATGTCTTTTGTAGCAGAAAAGAAAATAAAACTTCTGGGTTACTGCCACCCACATTTTCTATGAAGAATGCCTAAACATAGACACTTACATCCCCATTGAGATGTGTAGGTAAGTGGCATATTTTTACACTCGCAGGTCTAAGTATTCAAAGATCGACATTTAGGCTTATAAAAATGCTACCCTTTCTCTGAAATGATACAGAATGAATGTCTCAATAGTTTTAGTAATATAAAGTAATAATATTTCAATATGCTACTCAGTACTCCATCCACACAAGATGGCTATTCCCTGAAGAAATGAATCTCACATCCTGTAAAATACCAGTTTTAACTTAATTCTATTTAATTTTCGTTCAAGACAAGGGGAATATACTATTCTTGAAAGACAATTCATATGGGTGAAGGAACAAAGAATGAGATTCTAAATGAATATGAGGCAAAATAGGGAACAAAGGACCCAACCTCTCTTTGTCAATGGGTTTAAACTGTTTTTTTGTTTTAAACCTGTTTCTTAGTCAAGGCCTGCCATTTCATATCTTTGTAAAATACTAAAAATAAAGCAGTGTGCTGTCAACATATTTTTTAATGAGTACTATGAAAATAACAACAAATAACAATAAGTATCATAGTAACAAGAAGAAAAGTAGCCAGTCTCCTTAGTTTTAATTCTGTACTAGCCCTTCAAAGGATGTTTTGAAGGCACTTCTGCGGTGTGGGTGATGCTGAAACTGGATGCAGCTTTATAAACCCTCCTTTCCCTGTAGGGACCAAATGAACTACCTCCTTCCC